CCGCCGTACCGGCGCCCCCGGGGCGGGGAGGTGCCGCGCGCCCCCTCCCGGGCTGCGGGCCCGGTACCGGGAACGCGCCCCGTCCTGGCAACAAACGGGCAACCGGCGGGAGCTGCTTCAGCTCTGGTGTTTGTCACGGGGGGAGGAGATACGGGGACAGCTCCCTGGGACCGGGGACACCGGGCCGGTACCGGCAGGGGCCGCGGGGCACTCTGGGTACGGGCGGCGCTCGCCGCTCGCTTTGCAGCACTGTCGTGAAAACGAAAGGGCCGCCCCTTCCCCGCGCCTCACGGGGCGCCGCTCGAGGCGCTTTACGGCCGGGCCGGCATCCCGCGGCGCTGATTGGCTCCGCCGCCGCGGCGCCGCGCGCTGATTGGCCCCGCCGCCGCGGCGCCGCGCGCTGATTGGCCCCGCGCGGCGCCGGGGGCGGTTTGAGCGGCGCGGCCCGGCGCGCGGCGGCGGCTCCGGCACGATGGTGAGTAACGGTGGGCGCGGCGGGCCCGGGCCGCGCGCGCCGCCCTCACCGGGGCCTCGCGGCCCTCTTCCCCCCGCAGCTGCCCCTGTCCCTGCTGAAGACGGCGCAGAACCACCCCATGGTGAGTACCGGTACCGGCCGGCCCGGCGCCGCCGCCCCCCCCGCCCGCTCCGTTACCGGCTGCGGCCCCTTCTCCTGCAGCTGGTGGAGCTCAAGAACGGCGAGACCTACAACGGGCACCTGGTGAGCTGCGACAACTGGATGAACATCAACCTGCGGGAGGTCATCTGCACGTCCCGGGTACGGCGGGGACACCGGGGGGACACCGGGGGGAATCTGCACGTCCCGGGTTCGACAGGGACACAGGGGGGACACCGGGGGGAGTGTGCACATCCCAGGTATGGCGGGGACACCGGGGGGACACCGGGGGGACACCGGGGGGAGTCTGCGTGTCCCGGGTTTGGCGGGGACACTGGGGGGACACCGGGGGGACACCGGGGGGTGTCTGCACGTCCCGGGTTCGGCGGGGACACCGGGGGGTGTCTGGGAACACGGGGGTCATCTGGGTATGGTGGAGACGCTGGTGGGTATCTGTGTGTCCTGGGCACGGTGGAGACACCGGGAGGATCCGGATCCCGCAGGCACACCGGGGGTATCTGCACCTCCTGGGTACAGCAGGGACACCAGGGGGATTCGGATCCCGTGGGGACACCAGGGGCTATCTGTGTGTCGCAGGTACGGCGAGGACACCGGGGGGATCTGAGTATGGCAGGGACGTTGAGGGGTATCTGTGTGTTCCGGGTACGGCGAGGACACCGGGAGGATCCGGATCCCGCAGGGACACCGGCGGATATCTGTGTGTCCTGAGTACAGCAGGGATATGGGGGGGATCCGGGTCCTGCAGGGACACCGGGGGGKATCTGCAGGTCCTGGGTACAGCGGGGACACCGGGAGGTATCCGTGCGTCCCGGCGCCTCCCGCTGCTCCCCGAGACCCGTCTCTTTGGGCTCCCCCAGCCCTGCTCCGGCCTCGGAGCCGCTTCCCGGGCTGTGCCGCCCCTTGGAGCAGTCATCCCGGTTATCCTGTGTGTGGGTGTCCCTTGCCCCAAATAGGAATTTGTCACAGCAACGTGTACCCCATAAAGCARAGAGAGCCCCCGAGCGCAAGCGGAGCAGCCGGGCCCCGCGCCGGGATTGTCCGAGGCAGGAAGCACCATCTGGGGCTTTATTTTTGGGGGGTCTTGGGGCGCAGGTCAGTGGCGGCCGCCCGGGTCGGGGCTTGGCCGGCCCCGGGAGGCAGAGCGGGGTGTTTGGGAGCCCCCTTGGCTGCCCGAGGGCTGCGGAGCCGGGTCGCCCGTGTCCCGTCGGCTGCTGGGCGGCCCCTTAACGGCTCCCCCGGCTCTGGCCCTGCACGTCTGCCCGTTAAACAGCCCGGGGGGCTGTTGTTTACCCGTCTGGCGCTCTCGCCGTGATTGGGATCTGCACGTGGGGCTTTGACCTCAGCAGAAGTGTCTGGTCTTGTCCCCAAGCAGCCTGCGCTGCAGGAGCCGCMGAGGGGGCCGCGGCGGCTGCGCTTCACCCGCCCCACAACATCGGGGGCCTTTGCGAGGGAAACCCGACGAAGGAGACCGCATCCTTCGAGCAGAAACCTCCCTGCGAGCCCTCGGGGCAGGCGGCCAAGCTGTGACCCTCGTTTCTGGGGCGCACGTGATACGATAGCACCCAGATAAAATCGGCGCGGCCCGGGGAGGATCTGCACTAGCCGGCAGGGCGGCTTGTCCCTTGGCAGGACGAGCAGGAAGGGGCTTGGAGGGCAACTAACCAGCAGCAACGTCCCGTCCGCGCTCACAGCACAGGCTCCCCTTTGGGAAGGAGCTTTGTGGGCTCGCTGGTGGCAGCGGCAGTACCTCGGATTTGCACCCAAGCTCTGTCCGTACCAGCGGAAAAGCACCGGGGCTCAGTGGCCACGTTCGTGCCCCGCTTTAGCGCCCGGCAGAGGCTCCGCGAAGGCGCCCGCGGGACGGTGGCACCGGTGGGGACGGCCGCTAGATGGCCCGGAGCGGAGCGTGCCGGGCCCTCCCAGCCTGGGAGGCTGCTTGTTTACCCCGCCGAGGCCGGAACGAGGAAGCAGGGAGCCTGGCTGGATCCTTTCCTGTACCCGGAGCCAAAGAGCAGCCGGGAGGATCCAAGGCAGGGTGGGGTTTGTTGGGTGTCTTTTTGAAGGCTGTTTCTCTCTGTCCCGTCTTGCGCGGGAAGGGCTTGTTTGTGCACGCAGAGTTGCCCCAAATAACTCCCGAGACGGGACCATTTTATCCCCCGAGAAGGGAAACGAGGCTCTTGTGTTTAACCCTGTGTGCCGGGATGCCGCAGAGCGGGATCTCCTCCCCTCTTCCCAACTACATCCTGGGCAGCCAAGTTGCTGTTCGGCTCCGGCGCTCGATTCCCAATCCCGCTGCCCCCATCGGTGGCCGACATACATCCCAAGACTCTCCCGAAACCCAATTCAGCAACTAACAAACAGAACATAAACATCGAGAGACGTCTGCCTGCTTCGTAACTTGGCACCTGAACACCAGTTATTCCATATGGGATCTGCGAGCTCCGTATTTTCCACAGCTCCTGCGCATCTGGTGGGCACACGCCCCGCGTCCAGCTGGCTCCGCATACGGCCTCGCTGCTCAATCCACTCCCCAGAGGAGGGAAATATTTAGGTGACTCCCAGCCGAGGCTTCTGGAAAAGAAATCTTTCCGGGCGTGCGCTTTGCTGGGACTGCGTTTTGCTGCCCGAGTTTATTGCTCCCAGGAGTTGTGTGTGACTTACCACGTTTGCCTCTCTGCTCCCACTTTCAATTCCCTTCTTAGGAGAGAAGTGAGGAGAAGGCCCCGTTTCCTCAGCCCTTTCTTCCTTCATGTTCTGCTCGTGTTAAAAACCATTTGTGGAACAAACTGAAACTTCAGCAAACTGAAACGTGGGGGCATGTGGCCAGACACCCTTGACACTCCTAGGTTTTTGGGCTGTGTGTTTTGGGGTAAATCCATTTTTGTGCCTGCTTATGGATAATGCTCTCAGAAGAGGTACAAGAGGTCTGTTCTCCAGAACTGATAGAAATACTCAGATGCCAAAGCATGGTATAAATGTGTCCCTTCCTAAGATAATATAAATGTGTCCCTTCCTAAGATAATATAAATGTGTCCCTTCCTAAGATAATATAAATGTGTCCCTTCCTGTCCTTAACCTGACGTTTTGTTTCCCGCCAGGATGGTGACAAGTTCTGGAGAATGCCCGAGTGCTACATTCGCGGCAGCACCATCAAGTACCTGCGAATCCCCGATGAAATAATTGACATGGTGAAGGAGGAGGTGGTGTCGAAGGGCCGCGGCCGYGGCGGGATGCAGCAGCAGAAGCAGCAGAAGGGCCGCGGGATGGGAGGTGCCGGCCGAGGTAACGACCCTGCGGCGCGCGGAGGTGGCATGGGGGGGACACGGCCTTTAAAACTGCAAGAAGAGGCTGCTGCTTCTCAGCCGCCRCTGCTGGCGGGAAGCCCGAATGCTCCGAGATGCTCCGGGCGAGCGCGGAGCCGGCGCCAAAGAACACAAAGGAGGCGAGCGAAGGCAGGGCCCTGCCCCGCGCAGCGTCCCCGCGCTCGCCGCCTCCTCTCCCTTCTGGCTCCGTGCAGAGCACGGGCTCGAGGTCGTCCCGGCAGAGCYGCTGCCAGCGGAGCAGGCCCAGGGGACAACCAAATGGCCATTTTCCTCGAAAATACACTGATAATCACGGTGAAAAACGTGAAAAACATCGTCTTCCACAAGAGTTGTGCTTCTGATCTTCTGACTTGCCTTTTATATATATACACTTTTTTTTTTTAATATATCTGAGGATTTATGTTCTTCCTGCTCTACACAAATAATTTATGTTTCTTATGCGAGGCAAGGTTACCAGTTGGGAAGAAATAGGTCACAAAAACAGCCCTTCCTTCCCTTGTCCGACTGAAAATAGGTAAATAGGTTAGTTAGGTTAAAATAGGTAAATAGGTTAGTAAATAGGTTAAACAGTGCTTCATTTTGGGGGTATTTCTGTCATTCCCCCTGCTTTACTTATTTATTTACTGCCGAGACGGTTCTCCAGGAAGCCTGAAAACCACTTCTCTCCTTTCCTGCTTGCACCTCCTGCCACAACCTTGAGATTCGCTTTGCGGTCGCCTCCCTGGGTCCCCGTGCCAGCCTCGGGGTTGCTCTGAATACAGGATTTGCCGCGGTAGCAGCTCCCGAGCTCCCACCAAACTGGGCTTGGCCCCGGAAAACTACATTTTAAAGGGAGTCCTGGGGACCGGAGCCGGCGAAGGGGGAAGTCTGGAGCACCCGGAGCAGGCGAGGAGTCCTGGTAGGGCAGCAGTGACCCACGCGGGGCCGGCCCGTTGCAGGGGAGCTGCAAAGGCTCCGTTTCCACCTCCTGGGACTTCTCGAGGGAAAAACCCCTGTGGTTTCTGCCGCCCGTGCTGCTTCCCCCAAGCTCTCCTCATGCACAARTGACCTTTACGAATCTGAAGGCGCCTTTATTTTATTTTCCCCTCCTTCCCTCCTCGTGTCCAAGGCTCTTGGCGGAGCAGCTTTTTGGATGGGGCTGTTTGGAGAGAAGCGTTTTAGCTGCAATGTTTTCTCTGCTGTGGAAACATCCWCCTTGTGGCGCGCGGAGCCGAGCGCTCGTTGAGGCGGAGTTCCCCGCTGTTTTGATGTGCAGCTTAAATGAGCCGATGGAATATTTTAAAGGGAAGCTTTGGCATTTGCTAATTAGCTAAAAGGTTTGGCTCTCATTACTGAGACACGAAGGGGRAAAAAAAAAAGGAAAAAAAAATAAAAAAGGAGCAGGACAATTTTGTTGGGAGGCCGGCAGGCAGAAGTAGAGCTATAATTGTGCACRCAGTTGAAAGGATTATTGTTTCTGACACGGGTAACCCTTCGTCTTCTGCATTTGGCCAGCCAAGAAGCCAGAGTGCTGTGGTCTTTGCTTGGCTGCTCTGGGAGCTGCTGGAGCTCTGAGAGCATCCCGAGGACTGCAGGGTTAGAAGCATTTTTTTTATTATTATTATTATTTGTGTTTTTCCTTCTAGTTTAGGCCTGTGGTCTGGGCTTAAGAAGAGCGTAGGGCTGTAGAGCTAAGTCTTCTCCCTGGAGCAGGCGTCCTTTGGGCTCTGCCACTCGCGCCGCAGTGGCTGCGGTGGCTTCACGGCCCCTTTATCCCCGACGCTCCGAACTAAACCTCACAATTACRGCCTGGAACCTTCCTCTGTCTATTCTGGGAGCACTTATTGGGCTGGGAGAAAGGAGAGGGAGAGCAGCAGCTGCCAAGGCAAACTGGAAGCAGGTGGGTGGATGCTCCCGTGTCCACAGGGAGCCCTTGGTCATTGGTGTCTTTTGGTGGCATCCGGCACCTTCTCCAAAGGGTCGCTCTGCCCAAGGATGAGGTGGCGACAGAACCGGGTTTATTTTGTGTTTTGCAGCTGAATTTTGCGACTGAGTCACCCTCTTTGGTTTTGGTTTTACAGCTTTCACGGGGTACAGTGCGAGCTGCTAATCCCAGTGCTGCCAGATGCTGCAGCTCGGTTAAACGCCCCATAGCTCTTTGCTGGTTACRTTCTTCAGAATCGGTAAACTTAAATTTACAGTGACGGCCCAGCTGGCTGGCAGGGTGCACGTGAGCAGGGAAACTTTAGGGAACGCGCAGATGTGCAGAGATACGTTAGGCRCCTAGAGAACAAACTGCAGCGCTGGGGATTGGCAAGGAAGGAGTCCAAAAACCCGGCCAAAACCTGGAAAATCCGTTTTGCAGTTGGGCAGAGCTTGGTGAGGAAGCTCTGAGCAGCTGAGAAGCACGTTCTTACAGTTGTTTTTCTGTTTTTCTGACTTGTTTTTGCCCCCTAGGTGTGTTTGGTGGCCGCGGCCGAGGAATTCCAGGCAGCGGAAGAGGTCCGCAGGAGAAGAAGCCGGGCAGGCAATCGGCAAAGCAGTGAGAAGCCGCGAGCGCCAGGGCCAGCGCTGGGAGCCGCTTGGTTTTGCCACCACTTGCGTGCAAAAACATTAATTTTCTAGTCCTTAGTCAGCTACTCGATGCCTGAATCATGTCGCTTGGAAGCCCCTCACAGTCCAATCTGGTAAAGCGAAGTTCTCTTCTTCTAGTCAGAAAATCTAAGTTGGAAAATTTAAAATTTAAAATTGGAAATCCCTAAACAAATCACTCATGGTGAAGGACCCAACTTCTGTCTTCTCCTGAGAATGAAAGTGCTGTTTAATTCTTCAGGGTCACCAGGTTTAATTTAGTGTTATCCTGTACAGTGTTTAAAGAACGAAGGCAAACACTTTTTTTCAGGATGGTTTGTTTTGTTTTATACTTGAAATTTGGGGAAGCTGTTGCATTTGTAACAGATGCAGACATTTTGATTTAAAAACACTGAGCTCGAGGATATTGTATCTTTACATGAGGGTTCATTTTWAAAAAAAAAAAAACTTTTAAAACTGCCTCTTTTCTGCCTGGTCACTTCTGTCTCTCCCCCATGCCATGGAGCGAGGAGGAGAGTCTGGGATGAGCATCATGTTGCCCTCTCTATGGGCCATTTTCAGCCATTTTCAAGACAACTTCCGAGGGTTTCTCAATAATTTTATTTCTCCTTTGGCTTCAGATTAGAAGCCTCCTTTAAAGGGTGCTTATGTTTCATTGTGGAAGGATAACATGCCCCTTACACTGCATTTTTTCACCATTTTCCTGAAAAGCAGCTGAAATGATTAAGTTGAACTGTTTCTTTTTTCTTCCTTTTTTCTTTTCACTCTGAACACCCTCCCCTGCGCGCGTGACGTGGAATCCTGCAGAGTCATAAGCCGCGACAGTATTTTTTTATTATTATTATTATTTTCCCAAGCTTATTTCTCAGGAAATGCAGCCGTCGGCTCCTCTCATGTCTCCGCTCTCTGTGCAGACGCTTCCCGCCGCACGCGTGGCCGAGGCCGGGCGGCTCCGGCCTCCGTCGCGGAGGCCCCCGAGCACAACGGGCTGCACGAGGGCCCGGCTGATGTGAAGCGAAACCTGCTCAGGGCGCTGGGGAAGAACGAGGCTCTCGCCTCAACTTCCTGGACGGCCCCGTTTAAGGTAAAAGCAGATATTGCAAAACTCATTGGGGGCAGCCAAGCGGAGGCTGTCGTCCTTTTCTTTTGCGACTCCCCCATTGAAGCCCCCTCTGCCATCACCGCTGTTCTGAAGAGAAAATAAGGACGCACTTCTAGATCTTTACTTATCTTTAATGATTACAGAACTTGTGCTAAGTGGCAAGCAGGAATAAAYCCCCAGCCTGCACACTGCCGCCCTCCCCGGCGCCGCAGCCCAGCGGGGCCTCGCCAGCCTCCTGCAAAACCCTTTCCTCTCCCACTAGTGAAAGCACCAAGGGCAGCAAGGACGTGGCTGAAGCGCCAGCTCCCAAAGCAGCCGCTGCACAGGGGCCGATGGCCCCGGCGCGTGCGTCCTCCCCGCTGCAAAGCGGCCCTTGGCGGCAACGCGGCCCGGGCCCCGTCAGCCTTTCCCTTCCCGGCTGCTCCCTCCCTCGCCGCGGAACCGCGATGGGGAAGGAAGCGGCGGCGGCAGCCGGAGCCGCGCGGACAACGGGGCCCCTTGGGCCGTAGCTCCGCGCCAACCCCCGTGTTTTAGCTCCTGCTTTCGCTTAATTGCAACCCCGCCGTGTCGGCGCTGCCCCTCCGCAGCGCGGGCCGGGCTTTGTCCTCCTCTCCGAGCACGTTTGTCCCYAGCCATTGCAGCTCTGTCGCGCGCTCCCCTCCTGCGCCCCGCTCCGACAGGCAGCACCCCCCGAGGAGGAGGAGGAGGAGGGGGAGGCCGAAGGCCCCCGCGCGCGCCCGGGGGGCCGTGAGTCACCGCGCGCCGCGTGCGCCCGGCCGGCGGCCCAGGAATAGCCGCGCGGCGGCACCGCGAGGGAGGGGCCGCCAAAATAGTTCAGGGCTGCGCTAAGCGCCTAAAAATACGCGTCAAAGCCGCCTCCTCGCTCGCCTTTCTCGTTTGTGTTTTTCTTTAATAATATATATGTTATTTTTTTCCTGCTCGTTGCAGCCCCCGGGGGCGGCGCGGCCCCCTCGGCGCGGCCTCTGCAGGGCCTTGTCCCCCAGCCCGGTGGGTGACGGAGCCGCCCCGGGGCTGCCCCTTGTACCCGGTGMGGCCGCCGCTCGGCTCCCTGCTCCGGCACCGGCATGTGGGACCTTTTCCCAGCACGTCCGGCCCGGGACGGGGGCTCCGTGGGGTGGGGAAGGCACCCGGGGGTGCCCGGAGCTGCCCTGGCGCCAGGTTAGAGCCAGAGCCGCCCCGGGAACGTCGCCCCTCGCCACGGGGTCCCGGGGCTGGGGGGCAGCCCGGGATCTGCCCCGTTCCCCGACCCCGTTTGGGGTGACTGTGGCCCCAGCGTCGGGCTGCACCCGGACACGGAGCCGCCCCGGGGCCTGGTCCAACCGCGGCTCCTCGGGGACACCCGGAGCGGGGCCGG